AGGAAGGGAGTCAGGCTTCACTAGAACTGGCTTTCCAAATACGAAACACAAAGGTATTTTAAGAACAAAACCACAAGATCATCAAGGTCACCAAGTATGCGTCAGTCTGTTCTTGGTGGGGAAAAAGCAGCATTCTTGCATGATTATCATATGCAGAAAGGTTGTGACATGTCTTCAGCTATCAACATTGCAAAAATTAGGAACACAGTTGTTTTTGCTAGGGGATTCTGCTAATGTGGAAAGGTTCAAGGTTTCATTCATTGGGGAGACCAGAACCAGACATAGTTTTTTTTTTTTTTAATACTTTCAGGGTACAAAGTTTGTTGTGTCTGCTCTCCCTGCAACTGCAGAATATGTGGTGCATGTGCATTAATAATGATGATAGGGCAAGATGTCAGCTTTGCCTCCAGAACATTTACTTAGTTGCAAAGTTCAGCTTCTGCTCAGGATACAGCTCTTGTTCCTGCTGTTTTTAATAGGTTTCCTGTTTTCCTCAACTGACCACCCATTTAACTAACAGTAGCTGCCATTTACTGGGTGCCCATGAAATGCCGGGGACCAAGCTGGCCCTTTCTGTAATAATAGCTACTATTTATCAAGCTTTACCCTGTTCCATGCTCGTCTGTTCTAAGCACTTTACATGTATTATCTTGTTCAATGTTACAACTAGCACCCAAAAGCTAGGTGCTATTATAATCTCTATTTTACAGATTAGGACACTGAAGCACAAGAAAATAAGCAACTGGCCTGGCATCACACAGCAGGTAAGCAGAGAAGCTGAGATTTGAACCTGACCTCTGAGTCCCAGCTATGCTATGCTATGCTACTCCTACTATACTTGCATATTATTTTATTAAATCCTTATACAACCCTATGATGTGGGCATTCTTACTCTCCTGTCATAAATGAGCAACAGAGTTTCATTCATTTGCTAAAATAATACAGAAAATGGCATCAGGGATATACATCTGGAATTTTTATGTCTAGAATTTTCCAGTATACTTTCACAATACCTGTGAGACACCCAGGTTCCAGGTGGCCACTATGTGGCCTTTGGACAGTCCACATGGGTTGGCTGTGTAATATATGACTCACTTGGGCCCTCACTCCAGTGCTCAGACCTATGAGATAGGTGGATTCCTTGAGCATGTTAGGAGTAAGGATGAAGGAGTTCTCCTTTATTAAAAGAAATCACTGTCTTCTCATGATCAGTTTTATATTTGGATTCAGTTCAGTCTTTGCTAAGAGACTTCTGTGTGCCAAGTCCTGTGTTGCGGGTGTGTTTTGGGGGGTCAGGGAAAGAGGAGAGAATTCCTCTGAGATATAGCTGCCTCCTTCATAGAACTCGATCAGACTGAAAAAATAAAAATGATACTGAGACACAGGTGTCCACTGAACTCTATGTTAGATAGAAAGCTCTAGGGGTTCACAAAAGGGGTGCTAGAGCTCCTGGCCAGGTTTGGGGCATGAGGACCTTATAGGTCATGTAGAATCTGCATGCAAATATGAAAATGTTCCAGGCTTGGACAAAAAGGTTGTTAAGAAGGCCAGTGCAGAGGTGTTCTTGGTAAAAGGGACTGTCAGGTGATGCATCAGGTGATGAGATAGGCACTTGATATATAACATTTCAATGACTCCTGAAATTCACCCTGCAAAATGGATAGTGTTGTGTCCATTTTACAGATGAGAAATAATTTGGTTTTGGTCACACAGCTTTAAGTGGTAGAGTGGGGTTCAAATTCACTCGACTGGGTGCCAAAATGTATGTTCTTCCCATACTTCTAGGATTTTATAAGATATCCAAACTTCCTGGGAGCTACACAGGCAGCTTGATTCCTGTGATGGTTAATTTTATGTGTCAATGTGACTGGACTGTGGGATGCTCAGATATTTGGTTAACTATTATTCAGAGAGTGTCCCCAGGATGTTTTTGGATGAGATTAACATTTGAATAGGTAGACTGAGTCAAGCAGATTGCCTGTTCAATGTGGGTGCTTTATCCAGTCTGTTGAAGGCTTAAATAGCACAAAAAGGCTGAGAATTCATTCTTACTGCCTGTCTTTGAGCTGGGACATCAGTCTTCTGGCCCTTAAGCTTTGGGATTTGGACTGGAAGTACACCCACGCTCTCCTAGGTCTCCAGCTTGCTGCAGATCTTGGGACTCCTTTGCCTCCATAATCACCTGAGCCAGATCTTTAGTCTCTCTCTCCCACTTCTCCATTCTCTCTCTCTCTCTCTCTCTCCATATAGATAGATATAGATATCATATATCAGGTATATCTGTATTCTAGATATTATATCTCTCTATATATATCTCATTGGTTCTATCTCTAGACACTACATTCCTTTCTGATTTTATGGCAAAGATACTCTGCTTTTGATGAGGCACAACCTGGGCTGTAGCATGGTTGGGTCAGCTGTGCCCAGCAGAAGACAGAGACAGGGCTTGGAAGCAGAGTTCTAAGCCTAAGGATGTGGCTTTAGGAAAGTGTGAAGCTGCTGTTGCCCAGAGAATGCAGCCAACCTCAGGAAGCCTTTTATGGGTGCTCCCCATCAACTGTATGATAGATAGGCCCTGTGCTAGGAAGTAGAGATATCAAATCACTTTTGTCCACATTGGACACAAACCTGGCCCTCATCAGGCTCACAGTTTGGTTTGCGTTGGATGGGCAATAAGATCATTTCAATACAACTTTACATGTGCTACTTATTTCTTCAGCCCACCAGCCCCTGCATTTAGCCTCCATGGGTTTGGCTTTGCCTTTAGAAAATCACCAATCACTGAGTACCCGTGTTAGCATAGTCTCTTGCATCGGGTTGTCTGCATGATCTATGCTCTCGTGACCCTGCAAGTTACAGCATGTCTACCCAGTGGAATAGAAGCATGTCACTTGAAATTATTGTTCATTCTTGAATATGTATTTTCAAATAGAGGACCACAAGCTAAGTATATCCTGGAGTGAAGATTCTTCTTCTGTACTTCATACATTGAAGTTCCATCAGTTTGCTAGAGTAACTCAAGTACTTGTTATTGCAAAATACTGTAATAATTAATGACAACAATTAAAACTATCAATTTTAAATATAAAAGTTATCAGACCTTTCAAATAGTAGAAACCATGCAATGCTAATATAGATATTGTAAAGGGAATGGTTAGCTAGATAAATTTTAAAACAGCTAATTGCCTTTTTGAGCCAACAAATGTTTATAAAGTTTGAATAATAATATATGACAGAATAATCAAGCTAACAGATGAGGGTAGAGTGCAGATGTTTGTAGCATTACTTGGTATCCTAGTATTTGTCCCAATACTTAGCCTTTAAGAATCAGATTTCATTTTTTGAGATTTCTTTCCCATTTAGGCCATGAGTCTTTGGAGAAGAAGTTTTGTTTAGAATGCTTCACTTCTTGTGAGGATGAGTTTTTTTTTTTTTTTTTTTAAAAGGACAATGCCAATTTTGCCTCCTCAGCGGGGAAATATCTCCAAATTCATGTTAAGCAACATCTATGATAAATCCTCTCCAACCCACACATGAAGAATATACAAAAAAGGAAGAAAAGAACATGGAGAAGAACAGCATAATACTCAAACTACACTTTGTTCCGGTGGGTCAAAGTGTTAACAAAAGCGACTTTATGTAAGTCCGTTGTAGCTCTGAGGGAGCAGGGGCTTCACTTTGATTAGTCCCTAGCAGAAGAGGGCAGCTCCCAGGTGTGACACCTACACGGAGCCTCTCCACTGCTACGACCAGCCAGAAGGAGCCATGCTCCTCTCCTACCACCGTTGCAAAGGTCTCAAGCAGTCACCATAGTGACAGCTGGAGAGCAGAGTGCTGAGGATTTACTCGGTTACACTCTAAGATCAAAAATTTTAAATTCGGTGGCAAATATTTTTAATAGTAAGATTTAATAGTAAGTAAGCTATTGATTGATATCAGATTCATGTCATAGCCTGCTATGTACCACTTCAGGTCCTTCTGACCTCTCTATCTTGTCCCAGTACCACATGGTCGTCAGTTCTTTGAGGTTCTGACAGGTAGGTCCTGACCTGCTTCCTGTAGGTGCAGCCTGATGCCCAGGCTTGGCCCATGCACAAACCTCTCACCTCCAGCCTGGGCTTCCCTGTTGACACTATTGGATGCCTTGCTCAGGCAACCTGGAGTCCAGGCAGATAATGCCCCTGGTGAGAGGCTCTAACCAACTGAAAATGGAAGCTGGTGAATCAGTTCTCCATTTCTCTCGCCACAGATGGTCCTGAGACTCAATTTACACATACTCGGAGGATGGTTCCACAGTAGCCAAGAGCCAGTTACACTTAGCTTGTGCTAATTCAATAATGCATCCTGCCCTTGGCTCTCCCTCTGTATTGATTTTAAAGAATCAACAGATTCTCTAGTATTCCTCCCCTCAGCAGACAGAATTTCATCCTCCTCTATTTGAGAGTGGATGGGACTGAATACCTGCTTCTAGAAAACAGAATTCAGTAGAAGTCATGGGACCTCACTCTCAAGACTAGGTTATAAAAAACTATGGCTTCCTCCTTGGGTTGTCTGTTATTGGTGGAACTGTGTCCCTATCCACCTCCCCAAGAAATTCACATATCAGATCTGGGGCCCCCAGTACCTCAGAATGTGGCTGGATTTGGAGAGAGGGTCTTTGAGGAATAATTAAATGAAAAATGAGGCCATTAGGGTGGGCTCTGATCCAATAGGGCCAGTGTCCTTGTAAGAGGAGGAAGAGACACCAGGGATGTGTGTACAGAGAAAACCATGTGAAGACACAGCTAGAGGGTGGCTGTCTTGCAAGCCAAGAAGAGAGGCCTCAGGAGAAACCAACCCTGCAGACACTTTCATCTTGGCCTTCCAGCCCCCAGAACTATGAGAAATGAATTTTTGAAGCCACTCGGTCTGTGGTCTGTTGTTGTGGCAGCCTGAGCAAGTTACTACTATACTTTACCTTTCTTTTTCAGATCACTGACTCTAGGGGAAGCTGGCTGCCATGATATGTGAGCAGCCCCACGAACAGGCCCCTGTGGCCAGGAACTGAGGTCTCCTGACAACAGATTCATAGGTAAGCCTGGAAATCTTAGAGCCCCAGCCTATGGCATGAAGAAAACTCTGAGAGGTCTTGTGCCAGAACTACCTAGTAAAGCCACCCCTGTGGCTTAACACAGAAACCATGTGTTTGTTGTTTTAAGCCACTGAGTTTGGGGTAGTTTGTAACACAGCAACAGAAAATTAATGCTCCTCCTTGCCTGCCTCATTGCCCTTCCCTTCACCCCTCTGCCCAGAGGTGGCCCCAGTGCAATGGCATACTTCACATGGACCTGCCACCTCAGGCCCTGCTTGCCAGGAGAACAGACTAAGTCACTCCAGACTTTCATCTTCCATTCTGTGGTGGTCATAATCTGCCCTGACCCTTGACTTTGGCTGAACATGGCCTTTTTAACATTTGACTATTCTGGATTTGCACAAAATCTCTCAGTCATGTCATGATTCAAAACGCATCACTCAAACATCTACGCTAGGAAGAAACTGTCTTAAACCTGACAGATATGCTAGTCAGCAAAAACGGACAGGTGCGTTTCCTCATGGGGAGCCCAGGAGTTGGGTTACAGCTTTTAACTGAATATGTCTGATCGGTTCTGGCAGCCTCTGAGGCTCCAGCCTCCCCCAGACCATGAGGTATGTGGTTGGTGTCAATCCTAGAACCAATGGTCCCTTCCTTCCTCACTCTTTTTAATGAAAGGACCACTTACACATGACACTGAAGACTTAAATCCCCTGAATATGCAGTTCTCAATGCCTCTGTTTGCCTCTTCCACCTGTCAGTAGGTGTTTGTTGAGAGCTACTATTTGGGACGCCAGGTGGGACAGTGATAATGAGCAGGACTCAGGAGTCAGGCTGCCGTCATGGCCCTTACTCACCAGCTGTGTGACTTGGGCAAGGTGAGAAACCTCTGGCTTCCCCAGCTATGGTAAGATAATAGTACCTAGTCATAGAGTTGTTGACAGCATTAGCATTAATCATGCTTTTATGGTGCTCAAGATGGAGCCTGGCATATAATAAATGTTAGCAATTGTTAAGGGTGGGGAATTGCGGACAGAGCCAAATACAGTGTAACTCATACCCCCAAGAAGCTAATAAACATGGGGGCACTCATGAAATGGGTCCAGCTATTGCTAAGGCATGGAAGCAGTGCCTGGGTCTGGCTGGAGTGCAGTGCAGTGCAAGCTTGCTGAAAGAGTAAGTGAAGAAGGCCCAGGAGCCCAACCTCCATGGACTGAATAATGGTCCCCAGCAATGTCCACATTCTAATACTCAGAATCTTGTGGATGTTACCTTTCATGGTAAGAGGGACTTTGCAGATGTGATAAAGTTAAGGATTTTGAGATGGAGAGATTATTCTAGATTATTGGTGTGGGTCTAATGTAATCACAAGTATCCTTATAAGAGGGAGGCAGGAGGGTCAGTCAGAGGGGATGTGACAATGGAGGTAGACCAGAATGATGTGGCCATGAGCCAAGGAATGCAGGCCACCTCTAGAAGCTAGGAGAGGCCAGAAATGGAATCTCCCCTGTTGTCTCTAGAGGAACCAGCCCTGCCCTATAAGATACCAGGATGTTGGACTTCTGGCCTCTAGAACTGTCAAGAGTGATGTGTGTTGTTGGAAGCCACTAAGTTTGTGGCAGTTTGTTACAGCAGCAAGAGAACTAATACAGCAGCTTTGCACTGTCAGGGGTCTGAGTGATAAGTAGCTGCAGCAGATCCCTTCTCAAAAGGACTTCTCAGAGTAAGGGCCACTCCACCTCCCTGCAGGGCCCAGTCAGGTGCCAGCTCAGTAGGCTTAGGAAGGGAGATAGCCCAAGTTTCAGGAGTATGGGCATCTCTGCTCCCTTGCATCTCCAAGCAGAGGGCCTCCAGGACAGGGCATGTAGAGTCTCCCACCACAGACAGCCGACAGTGGCCTGGAGAACAGGGACTGGGACATGCTGATGCCCAGAGCACTGCTACCTGTTTCCAGAAATCAGGACAGATTGGGACGCCTTGTGGAGTGTGGCTAACTCCATGTGGGAGGCAGATGGCAACAGCGAAGAGACAGCAGTACAACATAGCTGAGGTGCCAAGAGTGGCTCCCACACAGACCCACAGACTCTTTCTACAGGACGGAAGCAAGGTCCTCACCCCACACAGTATGTACAGAGCAGGCCTTTATAGACTGGCAAAGGAGACCTCAGTTTCTAGAGCCAGGAAGGCCTAGCTTTTGACGCTGGCAGTTGTTCACTGCCCATTTGTCCTCAGGCTCATGCCATAACCTCTCCAAGCCTCAGTTTGCTCATCTGTAAAATGGGGATAGTAAAGGTAGTAATAAGAATAATAAGCGGGTAACACTTATTGAGCACTTACTACATGCTAGGTCTATTCTAAGCACATCCCAGGAACTATTTTATTGAGATTCCATAGAAGGGAAATCCTCAGGGTGAGTCCTAGTATATCCCTATTTTAAAGATAGTGAGGGACTTCATCAAGATAAGAAGGGGACTTCATCAAGAGAAGAAGCTTCTGCACAGCAAACTAGTCAACAAAACTAAAAGACAACCTACAGAATGGGAGAAGATATTTGCAAATGACGTATCAGATAAAGGGCTAGTTTCCAAGATCTATAAGGAACTTATTAAACTCAACAGCAAAGAAACAAACAATCCAATCATGAAATGGGCAAAAGACGTGAACAGAAATCTCACAGAGGAAGACACAGACATGGCCAACAAGCACATGAGAAAATGCTCCGCATCACTGGCCATCAGGGGAATACAAATCAAAACCACAATGAGATACCACCTCACACCAGTGAGAATGGGGAAAATTAACAAGACGGGAAACCACAAATGTTGGAGAGGATGTGGAGAAAGGCGAACCCTCTTATACTGTTGGTGGGAATGTGAACTGGTGCAGCCACTCTGGAAAACTGTGTGGAGGTTCCTCAAAGAGTTAAAACTAGATCTGCCCTATGACCCAGCAATTGCACTACTGGGGATTTACCCCAAAGATACAGATGCAGTGAAAAGCCAAAACACCTGCACCCCAATGTTTCTAGCAGCAATGTCCACAATAGCCAAACTGTGGAAGGAGCCTCGGTGTCCATCGAAAGAGGAATGGATAAAGAAGATGTGGTTTATGTATACAATGGAATATTCCTCAGCCATTAGAAATGACAAATACCCACCATTTGCTTCAACATGGATGGACCTGGAGGGTATTACACTGAGTGAAATAAGTCAATCAGAGAAGGACAAACATTATATGGTTTCATTCATTCGAGGAATATAAAAATTAGTGAAAGGGAATAAAGGGAAAGGAGAGAAAATGAGTGGGAAATATCAGAGAGGGAGACAGAACATGAGAGACTCCCAACTCTGGGAAATGAACAAGGGGTGGTGGAAAGGGAGGTGGATGGGGGGTTGGAATGACTGGGTGATGGACACTGAGGGGGGCACTTGATGGGATGAGCACTGGGTGTTATGCTATATGTTGGCAAATTGAACTCCAATAAAAAGAAATTAAAAAAATAAAGATAGTGAGACTTAACTCAGGGTGTTAAGTTGGGAGAATTCACTAAGTTAAAATTCGTAAAGCTCTTGCAGGCATGTGGTTGGGCATACAGTAAAGGATCTCTCTCCCTCCACTCCCCACTTCCCCACAGAGAGCTGGCTTCACTCAGATTCTTCTGTTCTTCTTGTGAGGAGTTTGCACCCCTCCAAAGGTTGCAATGCATGGACTATGAGTTAGTTGCCCGATATTTTAGAGCCTTGGTCTACTTCTCCATGTCTGGCTCAGTACTGGGCTCATAGTGGGAGTCAGAGCATCACATCTGGGCTGTACTTCTGGTGCAGTGTATGTGGCCCGTGAAGCTTTCTCAGATATGTCTGCTTTTTGTCCCTTGACTGACCCATGAAACCCAAGGGCTCTTCTGAATGACAAAGGCAGTGATCCATTTGTTTTTCCTTCTGAGCCCAGCAAATGGCTTTTCAGTGTGTCTGTCCCAGGTGGCCTGGATGTCCAGAAACGCATGGCTTGGACTGAGTCTCCTGTAGCTCGATTGAAGCTGGCTTCAGCTACTGTTCCAACTACAAGCACTGCATTCCCCAGGAGCTCAACACAGCCACCTCTCAGGAACGCATGCCTAGTTTTGACTCAACAGGAGCAGAGTCCTGCCTTGGAGGCAATGCTGGGCATACCATTGACTGGAGCAAACGTAATGGGCTGGTAAGCTGTCTGAGTGTCGCAGAGTGTTGGCTTCTTACAAGAGTCCTGGCATTTGCTAGTCTCTTCCGAATGGATCCCAGATGGAGCCCCACCAGTGCTGTCCTCCAGAATCATCAAGGCTGGCTTCGCCCTCTCAGATTGGGCTACTCTTCGAGCATCTGTCTCCCCAGGATTCTGGGCAAAATCCTTTTCAACCTGAGTTCCCACTGGTTGACAAACCATGTACTGTCATCCCTGATGAATAGGACTGTGAGAAAAGCTACCACCTCATTAAGGGCACAGGTTAACTGAGGGTGATTGATTTTCCATAGCTCTGAGAAAGCTTACAAATCCTTTGTATAAACACTAGTTTGACAGTGAAAACAGTTTTCCCTGTTTTCCCTTCTTCCATTGAGGGCAGCAGACAGAGTAAATATTGACAAATGAACAGGTTTACTTTTCTAAGAACCCTGAGGCAGGTAAATGGGGCAGGGGAGAAATGCTTTGGTTGAGTCATTATCAACAAAGGGAAAACCATTCTTTGGGGACCACCTTTGATGTGGTCTTTGGTGTGACTGGAGTTTTCTGAGGCTAAGGTTGTAAGTTGGAACTCTGTAAGGCAGGGGTGTTTCCACCCTGACCAGGCAGCAGGATCATCTGGGCCTTGACATCCCCACCACACCCCCAGGGATTCTGATGTGGGAGGCCTAGGGTGGAGCCCCGGCATCCATCTGTATGTTGACAAAGCTCCCCAGTGGCTTGATGCCAGCTGGGACTGTGAGCCTCTCTTAAGAGAAAAATGTTGTGCTAAGCATGACCCTTGA